TCTTTTTAGCATTTTTAGCAACGTCATATGACCCTTTAGAAGGATGGTTTGCATGGTTTGTGCGCCCATGGTCTTAAAACGGTATTTTTTGTTATTTAAAGAGCACGTTAGTAATATGCACCTATAGGCGGGTCCACAACGCGTGTACATTCTGCTTATTACACACACAGGGACGCGCAGCAGTACACAAACATGCCAAATATTAAAAATTTAAGGATTACAATGTAAAAGATTATTATTGTGTAGGCTACATAAATATAAAAATGCCTACATCATAATGTATAGTCATTGCATGTATCAGAATTAGGCTACCTATTTGCTCGCGCACAAGCAGCTCTGTGTCCTCTCTGGAGACGCATTCAGTCTTTGCTCTTGCAAATTCCGCCGTGTAAATAGCGAATCCGTCATGGCGCAAGCGCAACTGTCTCTTAAAGGGAATGGGAGATGAGACTCTGATTGGTTTATTGCACGTTATAACCAAAACACACCCATTACTCATTAAGAGAATAGGGACAACCCTTTTAGACCATCATTAAACTAGCAAAAGTGGATTTGGACACGCCCTAAGTGCACCTGCGCCTTGCGCTTTAGACCATGTGCTTAGATCATTAAAATAGGGCCCAAAGTCTTCATCTTATATTATTTTATTTTATTTCTATCCACTTGCACTCCCCCAACAAAATCACCTCAGTCATTCTATAATGAATATTTATTTCCAAACAGAGTTTCTGTCAAAATGTATGTATTTTTATATGGTAATATACATTGCTGAAAAACTAAATATTGCAATTTTTTTTCAATATCATGCAGGACTAATATATACAGTAGTATTTTCCAATTTTTCTAATTTTCTAGTTAATCTTTGCTATAATTGATCACTATCCCTATCCCTTTTCCAGATGATTGCACAAGTTATCTTACTCTTAAAATAACCAGAAGCAATTAAATATCCAATATCAGCCAATAAATTGAAAAAGGTGCTTATATACATTATTGTGCATTCCTATTTTCAGCTTCAGAAGGATGTTCTTCCCAAAATGTGGCCATATCAGCTTACAGCTTTGAGGGAAAGAGTCAAAGAAAGTATTAGAAAATCTCCTGTACTTCTTCTGAGGCATGTAGCCACCTGATACCTTGTAAACTCAGCTTTGTTTTCTGGCAGTTTGTGCTTCATTAACTCCTGGAAATTGAGTAAAAGCAAACTGATTACATTTGTACAAGCCATTTAGAGATGTTTGATGATCTCAAACCCTGTATCAAAAATATGCTGTTTGTGTCTTACTAACTTCTTTTTATCCATTTTAGACACAGAGCAGGATGAAACTTATCGCTGACAGCTACGAGGATGACCATTACCACCCTCACGCTCCACCTCCCCACATGCAACCTCAACCCCTTCA